TCTAAATGCCTTGAAAATGGCCGCTGTCTCTTTAAGAACCACCTTCGCTTCTGTCCCGCCCATTTCAGTGCAAGGTGGGCTGCCATGATGCAGTTTACTTGGCATCTGAAAATACATTTACTCAAAGGTATTTTTAATCTGAAAAGAGCTTCACTGAGTGAGAACTAATGTTGAGAGCTCAGCAGACAGCTAGGTTTCACTTTCACTTTCACCCGACAGCCTGCAGGAGTCTTGGGCAGGGTGTGTGGAAAGAGGGGAGGGGGGTGCACCCAGCCATGAGAAAGTTTGGCTTAAAGACACGTCCCAGGGGCGTTTCTGGTACCAAAATGTGTTTCTGGTCCCCACCTGTTGTTTTGCTCCTCAGCATGGCTTCTTAAAAACACTGCAGGATTTCTCAAACATGCATGAATGAGTCAAAGCAAGGCTTTGGGCATGTTTTTATGAGTATAACATTATAACATGATATAAAACTCAAAAAAGTTGATTTTACGTTTTAAGGCCAGACTCTATATATGATAGTAAATGGGCTGCAAAAAGAAAAGTTAACACAATGAAACAACACAATCAGGACTGAACTGATACAATCCTTCATGAAGGGTTTTCATTGGACGATCACCTAAACAACTCCAATTAGATTAAAATCTATTATAAGCGGTGATGGTGTCATAAGTTGTGTTGGGAAAAAAATCAAACAGGTGACATTAAATCAGCCATAAAGTCTCCTGTTAAAAACTTTGAAAACAAAGAAAACGTGTAGCAAGACAGCAAGACTTGATTTGTTTGTGACTTTACATCTGCAAACTGGTTTTGTGTCAGCGTGTTCTCACATAAGCGTATGGTTAAAAACCAAAGTAAAAATGTGTAAAAACATTTTACAGTATAAATCTTAAAAAGAGAGCTGCTCCAAGCCTGTTTGGGACACACTTGAATGTTTCATGGCAGGTATTTTCCATTCTGGTTTTAAAAAAGTGGGGGGAGTTGAAACTACAAGCCAACCACAGCAACATAACTCAGATCACACATGTAGAAGCAGGAGACGATAAGTCAGATTGGCGAATCAGATTTAGATTAGCGAATCAAAACCACATAGAGGGTCCCTCCTCCGCAGGAAGATATTGTTTCTGTCGAATGAAAAGGAGGAACAGGCAGCAAATTTACCTGCTGAGGTTCAGATCGACTCAACTGTTGAAGTCTAATACTGACACAGGTGGAACAGTCAGTCAGTGCTCTGGGACTTTCTGTAACCGAGTATTTATTATTATTATTATTATTATTATTAGATTTTTGAGAGTTTTTATTTTTTCTGGATGAACTTGAGTTTATTTAATCACTATCTCATTTAAAGTATTCTGTATTTTACGTGTGTGTGCAGTCTGTTTTTCTCCTCTGTGGTTTGTGGATGTTTCTGGTCCAGTGAGAAGAATGGAGCACAGATTCCATGTGGACTTGGACGAGACGTGTCCAGTATGTGGAGACAGAGTCTCTGGATATCACTACGGGGTTCTCACCTGTGAAAGCTGCAAGGCATGATGGCAAACTGTCACAGATATTAGAGGCAACAAAACAGCTGCTTCAACTAGGTTTTTCCTTTTTCATTTGCAGGGATTTTTCAAAAGAATGGTTCAGAACAACAAAACTTACACCTGTAATGAAAGTCAGCGGTGCAGGATTGATAAAACTCAGAGGAAACGTTGTCCTTTCTGCAGGTTTCAGAAGTGTCTTCATGTTGGCATGAAACTGGAAGGTGAGTAAAAATATGATCTTATTTATGTTAGCAAATCCACCTTTATGTGTTAAGAAGCATTTGATTTTACCATAGATTAGTTAAAGGAGAAATTTATGAAATAATCACAATGAATTGTTTGTATTTATTACAGAAGTCGTTTTAATGGAGAACCAAAACTGACACAATGAAAAATAAAAGCAGAAATATAGAAATAGCACAATAAATAAATAAATACACTTAAAAAAGGAGAA